TTGACTCAATTTTATTTTTAAAATGTTTTTTTAACTCTTAAACATAAAATTTCAGTGCATATTGCTGCATTTCATTTTCATTTAGCACTATCTTCTTATTTTTCTTTTTTCTAAAAGAGCTTTATGCTACTGTTATAAAGAAAAGATACACAGTTTTGGTATTTAAAGTTGTTTTTCTAGAGATGGCCCTTTTCTATATAGATTTTTTGTCTTTTCTGGTTGATGTAGTTATCTTTTCCAAGAGATGCTTTGAAAATGACTGTTTTCTTTTTATTCGAATTGTTCTCTCTCCATGTGTGTATATATACTGATAGTAATAAAATACAGCATATGTATTCTCAAGTATTTTTTCTCATTTGCAAAATAATCAATTTTCATCTTGGTAAATATTTAGATGTGTAATGAAAAAGCTGTTTTCTTATTGGATAGGTTCTACCAAAATGCAAATTCCCTTCTGCAACTCTTGAGGTTTTCCCTTTTTCTCAGTCCCTCAGGCCCACACCTCATTCCCCCTACACTTCTTTTCCTTACTTAGTCACCACACACATGCTCCTCCTTCTTAGACTCCTCGCCTAGGTAATTTCTAAGAACTCTTCTTTTAGATGTAACTTTTTGAATCTCACTATCTGGATTGAGGCTGAGTGTGATTTCCACCCCCTCCCACTCTCTCTAGATGTTGTAGATAATGGCACTGGGTTTATTAGGCCCTTTAATGACTGGGGCAACAGAACCTCTGTGGGGTCCTTTGCAGCAAGGTGGATTTTTTTTCTCTCATAGTGGGGGGTTTGGGGAGATTGGCTGTAGTAAAGTGGAGAGAAGGGATTTATTCTGGGTTTTATTGTATATTACTATAGCCATTGAAATGGGAATTGAATGAGCAAACACTGTATTTGTCCATTTGCCCCACCTTTTCTTGGGCCTAAGACTTAGCAATAGAGAGAGAAGGAGGAGTGGTGTTTCCAGATGTCTCTGGGATACAAGAGGAATTCTGTTTCCTAGATTTGATTAGATTTCATACTGGGAGACTGACAAAACTTGTGTTAGTGCAAGGGCTCTCTCTGTAGGCAAGAATGATGCCAAATATGAAATAATCCCAAATGATCTCTATTTGGCTTTGAAACACTTTCATATGAATACATCCAAGCTGGCATTTCACTTCAAACAAAAATAAAAATACGAAAGCCACATGTGTGATGACCTCATTAATCCCAGCAAAGCATTTACTTAACAAGTGGGTTAATCTATGACCAGTAGAAGGCACCAGCCCAGTCAGTGATGATTTCTCAAAGCTTCTTGCTTGCAGGCTGTGTACAGCAGAGTTTACGTACAAAGATAAGCAAGCAAATAATGAAGTAGGGTAGGTGCTAATTATAATGGAAAGGTGGGGCATTGGACCAGTGTTTGAACTATTGTGTTCTGTGTTATGTCTTTAACCTTAACCATAACCCTGTGAACAAACAGTCATACAGTTAAGTAGGCAGGACTTTAACCTACGTATTTGCTGCCAAAAATCTGTGTACTTCCTATGCTGCTCCCAGTCTCATTCTGTATATTTCCCATTCCCTCATCACTGATAACAACTGTAAACTATTCTGGTTTCACCTACCGAGGACTCAAATTTCTCATCTGTAAAATGAGCCTGGTAAATTATGTATTCTGTAGTTCTAAAATTCTGTGCTTTTTGTTGTTAACTTTGAAAAGAGGGATTTGTCAGAGATAAACGTAGTAGAGGATGTTAGGCTTTGGTTTGCTTTGGTTTTTTGTTTCTGTGATTCAAATTTTTTCCATGAGATTTAGAAGAGAACATATTTGAATAAAAGGAAACTAATTCATAAAATTAAACATTTGTCGATAATAATACAGAAGGTTTAAAGTCACACAGGGGTAAACTTCACTGTATCAGGAATGTGTGATGAACAGATACATCTGTATTTTGGTATTTGAAAAGTTAGAACCTGTTTATAGACTAGGAAGTCAGAGAGAGGACACAAACCTATCTAGCATAATATAGACAAGTTGATGTTCTGAAATAAAACATAGTCGGTGGATTGCTTGACCTTTTATTTTTCTTCCCTTGTAATGAGCAGCAAAAATTTCAAGATATTTCAATCAGGAGAAGAAACAGCACTTGGATTAACTACAGACCAAGTAGTTATTAAATAATTGTGTTAAATTTACCTTTATAGAGAGATGCTCTTAATGACTATAGAAAAACTAGTTAAGTTCATCATTATAAATTGATGTTGTAAGATTGACAGATACCAAATGGGAGAATGTACGGTTTGGATAACCTTTTATGTTGTAAACATGGACTGCTTAGTGACTACATTTTAAATTGGAAATGTTTCCATGTGTAATTTTACTTGAAGTGACTATTTTGATGTTTCTGAAAGTCAAAATAATCTTAGTAGCGGTGCAGTTGTTTTAACAATCAGCGAGAGGAAGGACAGTAGCTTCATGTTTATTCCATCCTGTAATGAATTGGTGGAGTCAAACTGGAAGCGTAGCTAGCTGCTTCTGTTATTAATATGCTGAGTTTTTCTAGCTCCTCCTCAGTGGTTTGATTTTATTTTTTCCTTCAAGAGATACTTATTTTAAAAGGATCTTACCTGTCTCTTAATTCTGCTGTGTAGCAAGAATCGTGTTTTTAAAGAATATCACAGATTGTCCCCATCAGTTAGCTAATATTCACACTTAGCGGTTCAAAGTCCAAGCCCTGAGGCTAAGTGCTTTGAACACATCTTATTTAATTTTGGTTTGCTAATAAGTATAAGATGACTTTGGAACACAAGATCCTTAATTGTGGTTTCTTGTTGGAAGGCAAAGTTGGAAAGGCAACCTTTCCTTTACTTTATTAAAGTTGATATAGTACTGACTTGTCATTGTTTGAATATACTAGATATAAAAATTGACAGTGATAATTTATTTTTAATTTTTAAGTATAATTAAAATGTGAAAATATTACTGTCTTTGTTTATGATGAATACTAAATTTAAGCTAAGCTATAAGGTGTGCTGTTTGGAAATATGGAAGATACAAGAATGAAGCCAGATAACAAGTTTATGCTTGTATATCCTACTGATGAAGACTTTCAGACAAGTTATTTCCATGGGTAGGTGATGTTACTCTGCATGTACATATACACTTATACTTTTTGCATGATTTCACATGTAGGAGTGGTACAATTTTGACTTGACTGTTGACCTGTTGCCTCAATTTGGTTGTGGTGGGGGGAACGTGAGGGCAAGAGGTTGTGAATGGTATTTGTGATACAAATTTTAAAATAAATCACTATTTTTTTTTTCAAACACAAAACACTTAATAAAGCCCTTTTAAAAATAGAACATTTGGTCAAATAGTCAATATTGTACTTGACCCTCATATTTTCTGCAACCAACTATTTGGACATCACACAGTATCTTATTATTCCATAATAATCATTTTGAACTCTGACGAGAACTCCATAAATGTTACAGCTTTCTTTTCTTTTTTAGAAAAGAAAAACCTCAGACATGAACCAGTTTTTTGCTATTTGATCTAAAATCCATTACTAACTGATACTGAGGCCACACTCTTGAATTTTATGAACATGATTTACCCTTTTGGGAATTGGAAGTTATTCTTAAGTAGTCAACTGAAATTGTCATGATCGTCAGAATTTCATATTGTGACATGTCTGTTCCTTATACGGTGGCACTTAACAACTCATTTGCTTTTATGTTTGGTCATTTTTTATTTTAAAAATGTTGCTACATAAACCTATGGCTTGGGAACTTAGTCTTAAGGGATAAGTACCCCAAGTGTGTTCCATGTTTTGTTTAGTGACAGTTTACACAATGGATGTTTGTATTAAAACAGTAATCCTTCATTGTGTTCTATTTTAATGATTCGTTGGCATATGTATTCCTTCATAGTCAAGAGTTTCATAAAATAGGTCTGTTTAATGTTAATTTGTTGGATTATATTAAGAAATCTTTATCGAAATAAGTGATTTGCTTGCACTTCATAAATAGCTCTTGGGGGAGGAAAAGCATTTTATTTTAAAATGGCAGTAGTAGTAAGGGATATGTTTCATAGTTGACTGAAAACTTTATTTTTGCTTTCTGCTTTTATATTAGAAAAGGGTAGCATTTTAAAGCATGTATCTATTTTACAAGCATGAATATTGAATTATTTTAGCATGAATCACTGCAGTATAATTACTTCAGAGCTCAGCTGCCATTTTCAGCTAGTTAGGATGATTTGGAGGTAGAAGGGATCTCTTTTTTCTAAGAATTTTAACATCTTCCTCTCAAATAACCCATAAGGTTGTGTATCATTTCCTTGGAGTATGAGCTGGTTGTTTTTCTCAGGGAAAATAAAATAGAAATATCCCTCATAAGACATCCAAAGCAAAATCCTGAAGATGGATTTCATGAGCATTGTCTTTTTGTAGAATATTGTAAGATGCATAACATCCCTACTATTATAAAAGAGCTTTACTGGAAATAGATGTCAGTCAAGTAGAGCTCTTAAAGTAGAAAAATATATATTTGATTTTCTTCTCTGAATCTATTAGGGACTTCTAGTATTAGCTACTAAGAGGAAGAAACTAGATTCATTCTCTTAAAATATAAATTGAGCTTAATAGTTTGCCTCAGTGTTTTTCTTTAAAAAATCAGTTTCACTTTCACTGTAGAGTCTTCCCCTTTTTCTTAATCTTTTGCTCTTTAGGAGAATGACAGGAATTCAGTGTAACTTTTGTTCAGTATATTCTTGTCTTTGTTCTTCATAATAACACCCTTTTTCCTCCTTGCCAAATGTGTCCCTCATCTTTGTAAGCTCGGGTTATCTCTTTCACTTTCATATCATGTACAAAATATTAGATTGTATAAAGTGCAGCTTTTCTGACCATGTAGAATCATAAGATAAAGACAACTGGCATTTAGGGGGCTCTTAGTTGCAGAAGTATTTTTCACCCCACAAGTTAGATACAAGTATACATTTTCTTTCCTCCCTAGATGGACCTCCAGTTGTAGCTCATTATGATATGTCTGACACCAGCTCTGAGCCAGAAGTGGTAAATGTGGACAATTTATTGGCGGCTGCAGTAGTTCAAGAGCACAGTAATTCTGTAGGAGGCCAGGACACAGGAGCTACCTGGAGGACCAGCGGGCTTCTAGAGGAGCTGAATGCAGAGGCAGGTTGGTCTCCCTCCCCCGCTCCCCCCTTTCTCTGATGGTATAGTATGCATGTGTCCTGGCAGCTATTTTCCTTGCTGAGGAGAGCAGGCCAACTAAGAGACATCTGGCATTAGATGATTGTGGCTTCCAGGGTGCCCTTTATAACAGAAAAGATTTGGGTAGCATGTCATTCGTCTTTCCTAATCACAAGAAAGCAAAAATGAGAATATCTAAGACAGTAATTGTAGGCATCGGTAGATTTCAGTATATGTACTTCTTGAGTTAAAAATGCCTAACATGTAAAAATTACCCAGATGACCTGATACTACCTCCCACCCCCACCCGCAATCCCATCCCCGCTTCTTAGTGGTTTCACTCACTTATGGACCTTATAGTTTGGGGAGGGAGCTGTTACAATTTGCCCTGTGGGGCTGTTGCAGTGCAGTGCTGCACTGTTTCTTCTGCCTCAGTGTGCAGTGTCCCTGTTAATTCCTTTACGGTTGTTCTCATTTTGTCTTTTCCAACTCCTTTCGGTTGCTGTCTCTGTTATCTCAGGAAAATCTCTCTACCTGTCTTACATTGTTTATCTTGGTTCTGGGATGATTCTTAAGAGTGATATTTTATTCTCTGAGAAACCTATTGCTGTTACCTTTGAAAACCTTGCACAGTGCCTCCAAGTCTCCTTCATTATGTTCCTCAAAACTCTTTCTTCCAACATTCTTTCTAATTTAAACCTTTTTCTAAAAGTACTAGTGCTTTTAGAAAAGTTTAAGAAAAGAGGTAGAAGGGATTGAGAGACAGACTGCTTATGTAGTGTGTATTTTCTTTAGTGCCATAGAAGGATTATAGTTTTCTAGTTAAATTATAAATTGCATTGGCTTAATAACTACCTAAAACATTATTTTTATGGGAAATGAGTTTTTATTACAAAAGTAACAGTGGGTTATAATTTAGAACTTTTTATATTTAAATTGTTTAAAAGGGGAGACAGAACTCCACAGATCATTGTCATTAATTGTTCATTTCATAATCTTTGATTGAAACTGAATAAAAAAGTTTCTCTTATTTGTTGAGCTTCTAATTAATTTATTGTGACTAATTTTGGAACAGGACCTGGATTTAGTTTTAACTGTGTTGTGACTGCTAACTGCCTATTTAACCTTGGACAAGGTGATTCTCCTCTGGACTTCAGTTTTTATATGTATAAATGCTTGATTTGCCCAACAAGGATCTTTTAAGTATTTATTAATGTGTATAAGTACTTTGAAAAGAATTAAGTAGTAATACTTTATATCAAAGGGGAGTAGTTTATCTTAATTTTCATCCATTGACAGTTAAGTGATCCATTCTACTTCAATTTTACTACCCTGTTTCCTTAGTCTTGCCATGAAATGTAGACCACTTTATAGTAAATTCTTAGGAAAAATATGAACAATTACTTTTTGTTATTTTGCTTTTAATACAGAGAATTTTAATATTAGTTTGAACTATATGGAATTGTTAATATTTGACTTTCTCATCTACAACAAATTTAGCAGTTTAATATGAGTTAACCTAAAAGTGCAAGGCTTGGGGTCTTACAGTATCATTAAAGTCACTAGCATTGGGTGGAGGGGGGGAGCATCACATTTTCAGGTTCAGGTAATTGTTAGCTTGATTATTTAAAAATACCACTAGCCTTTGGTGCTTAGCTCTAAGAAATAAAACATGGCAAAAATATTTGAGGAGGGAAACAGCCCCTCTCTACTCCAAAGCTCCCCTGAATTTGGTATTTAATGTCTGGTATTCCTGTGTATTCCTCCATACTTCTGCTGCATTTGTTTTGTATCTGTAAACAAGCATGTTTTAATACTAATTAGTATTACATAGAAGGCAGTCATTTGCAACTTGCTTTTTTAGTTCAACATGTTGTAAAGTTTGTTCTTGTTGATGTGTTGCTATAGTTCATTTACTTTTCACTGCTATTTAGTATTCCAGTGTATGACTATATCATAATAGACTTACCCATTGTCTTCTTGGACAGTTAGGGTACTATTCCAAATGATGCTGCCATTGACATTTCCTGTACATGTCTCTTGGTACATGTGTAGAGAAAGCACATGTGTGTGCTTTCTCTATATATTACAAATCATGTGTAGATCTTTGTATATTGTAGGACATGGACATCACTGTTCAAGAGATCCCCATGATATTTTCTTATGAAGCCATTTATTGTCTCATTCAAAGTTTTGGGTTTTTTTTAATATCTAACATGCAGGTCTGTGAGTAATAAATAAAACTTAATAATACACTGTAGTCTTGATGTAATTATCATAGTGGGAACCCATCTTGTGAATTTGAATATACTTACTATATCATAACAAAATGTTCATAGAATTTATTCTCAATTGCCAGTTTATAGTTTTGATACTTGGGAGTATTAGTATCAATTAGATGGTCATTCTTGAGTTTGGAGTTTAAGATAAATGTTGTAATGGTTAATCTGAGTTTTCCTTCTCTCCCTCCCAATAAAATAAAAACCCAGTCACTGAACTAATTAATTAATAGCAGCAGTGGCTAACTGATAGCAGCATCTCAGACCAGGTCTACAGTCCCACTCCATTTAGAATCACATAAGCAATCATTAGGGATAGAGTAGCTTATCTCTTTTTCTAAGCAATTAGATGATGTTCTTGTATGCAAAATAGTTTTTACTGTTTAGTTTTAGTTTCAACCAAGGAAAAAGAGTTGAAATTAGGAAAGCCATTGGTCAAGAAAACTTTCTGACCCAGAAAACTTTCTGAACTTTCCATTTCAGCTCTTGCCATATGTTTACTCCTTCTCACTTGATGCTAGAAGTGGACAGTATAGTGGGTGGCAGCCTGCTGCCAGCAAACAGCCTGATTTTGAACCAGCAGAGCCACTTGCATACTGTGTGACTTCAGGTAAATTATGTAAAGCCTCAGTTTTCCCTATCTACAAAACTTGGATAAAACTAGTATCCACCCCAAGAGGTTATTATACTGTTATGTGGAATAACATATAATGTGATTCATATAGGATGAAGTACACAGCAGGCCCTCAGGAATGCTAACTGGCATTATGTTAATACATTTATGCTGAAGTAGACTAAGGAAGTGATTTATGGACCCAGTCAGTGGATTTCTAATTTATTCTCCTGCCCTGGAATGAGTTGCTCTTGCTGCAGTATTTCCTAAACTTTACCTGAGCATAGAAATTACCTGGAGTGCTTATAAATATTCAGACTCCTAGATTTCTCCCTGAAAATCTTGTAAATAGATCTGAAATGGTGTCTGGGAATCTGTTTTTAATAACTTTTGCATCGGACATATTTAGGAAACTGTACCAGTATATCTGAAAATAGCTTGATTTTTGCTTATTGCTAATAACAGCTCACTGTAAACATAAATGTAGATGAGGCTAAAAGAAGCAGAAGTCTGAAGTACTCTTGGTGTGGAAGGCTTATAATTATTACACTAAATTTATTTATGTATTTATGCCCCCGGAAATTAAAAATTCTAAACAAATGATCTCATTTTTTCCATCAGCCTTCTTATTAAGAAGGTAGGCTATGAGCATTTTCCCCATCCTTAAAATAGGTCTGGTAATCTTGATTTGTCCATAATACAAGCTTAGTTGTAGTGAAGAGAAAAAAATCTTGGGTTTCCTGTTCTTAGAGTAGGGCTTTTTATGATCAGACCAAAATGACCATGTTTCTATTGTTAGCACTATTATTTTTTAATATGTTTGTTTGTTTATTCATGGCTGTGTTAGGTCTGCATTGCTGCGCGCGGGCTTTCTCTAGTTGCAGTGAGTGGGGGCTACTCTTCGTTGCTGTGCGTGGGCTTCCCATTGTGGTGGCTTCTCTTGCTGCGGAGCACGGGCTCTAGGTGTGCAGGTTTCAGTAGTTGTGGCGTGGGGGCTCAGTAGTGGTGGCTTGGAGGCTCTAGAGCGCAGGCTTCGTAGTTGTGGTGCCTGGGCTTAGTTGCTCTGCGGCATGTGAGATCTTCCTGGATCAGGGCTCGAACCTGTGTCCCCTGCATTGGCAGGCGGATTCTTAACCACTGTGCCACCAGGGAAGCCCTCTGTTGTTAGCACTTTAAAATCATTGTATCAAGTCTTGTGAAGGAGATCAAGTTTCCTCTTGTTCAGCTGGTACATGTGGACTGTAAGATTTTAGATTTCTGATCTCCTTTTCTCCCACTTTTTAAAGTTTTTAATATTTTTGTTGAAAAAATTTAACACACGGTAATAATTTGTTTGCTTTAAAGCTAAATGAGTAGTGATTTAAGATAGTAATCTTTTTTATACCTAGCATGCCACTGTCATCCAGTATGTAATAATTTTATATACTTCAAATAGTCTTAGGACTAGTTCTTAGTAGATATATGATTTAAAAAGAAAATGTTTGCCATGATAATTTAATTACTACCTTTTCTACTTTCTGATTTATTTATGTGTTGAAAAGATCTGTAGTGGGAGGACAAAAATTTAAAATTTTCTTATAGAGTGAAAGCAGTTGTCTTTCCAAAGAGCTACACAGGGAAAGACCTACACAGAGACGGCCAGATGCCACAATAACTAAATATAAATCCTCTGCTTTATTTTCAGTTTAATATATGGTAATTGTGGTATTTACACTTTTTCTACAGAGCTTATTCTTGTTCTAGAATAGGAGTAGATTACTACCACTGACAGTATTTGAAGAACCTTATAACATCTTTGACTCACTTTTGTGTATGCTTTAGGCACTGCTTTGCCATTGGATTCCTTTGAGGTCAAGGGGGGCTGGTGCAGTGTGCATGTGGCCCAAAGGCCAGAAGAGTGTTGGGCTCTGCACTAGAGCTTCCAAAAGAATGTGTGACTTGCTGAAGAGGGTTACATTGAGAGAAAAGGACTAATTGTCCTGGCTCTGAAATAGAGGAGGGGATGCATTCCTGGCTGTTGGAGAATGCCATGGTGTCTCTTACAGAGCATGGGATCCCACAGATTTTGGTGTAGATCCCAGCTGACTTGTTACC